TATGATGGTGGCGTCCAGGAGGGTGTTTTGCTCCCTCCTGTCTCTGTATAATCTCTTGGAGGTGGCCGTTAATAAGAACAGCTGAAGCAGGTCCAGCACACGTCAACAACTGTTCCTCGCTGTAACTGACTCTGTTGTCTAAGTAAGCAACCATCAAAGCGGTTGTTTGCTTTTCACTCTTTAATATCACAAGCTTTTTGTACCGGACGTGAATTTTGGCAGTCGTCAGCATCAGCATGTGATTCATGCTCGTATAAATCTGTTAAGTTTCGTCATTTAACTTGGGTATTGCTAATGACAGAGAACGATCGTGAGTTCTACGATGAGTCATGCACAGAATGCTTTCGGACTGGTTTGCTCTCGGCGATCGTTTCGAGTGCGTTTCGAATGAACTAAATCGTTTTCGTAATTTTGCAGTTAGGCGACGCTTGGACGCGTTGAAAAACCTCTTTTCGGATATCGGCGCCGTTTTGGCCCGTTTTGTCGATTGACCATGGTTGACCATCTTTTTCGACGGATATCGACGCAGAAAATATACTTATGCTCGCTTCACGACTCTAGCAAAGACACAGTTTCATTCGTGTTTGCTCATTTTCTGATCGAATGAAACGATAAAGATATCAGCAATGATAATAGATGACAAGCATACAGCTTCTGAAAACAAAACACGCTCTTTGAACTGCAGTGTTGACCGATTGACCGTACTACTGATTAGAATGATAAGTAGAGTTCTTGGTTGTAGACAAGTCGATTCTTTAAAATTAAGTCAAATAATGGACTCAGCTACAACTACGTTTCAGTCTTCACCCTCACTTGATTATTTTCGTCCATGATTTGATTCATTTGAAAGTCACATTTGCTGCATTTAACCTACAGCATATTCTATGCTTAGATATCGAATTTCACAAAAATTAACCGATCACCATGCTGTCGCTCAGAAATACACACTAGAATTCATATCATTGTGGAAATAATTGCAAACCGGTTCCCTTGTGGCAGTCCCTAACTTACCAAAGTCACGCTACCAGCCAACCGCGAAGTTAATCCGAGCATGTTACCTATTGTTCGAAATTGAAATCCAGTATGGCAGGTGATGAAGTTTTTCCTTATTTATGCTATCTGACATGGATTTGTGCCATTCTAATGGCCGTGTTAGAAAAATAACATTCATCATATGTTGTATAGGTTTTACTCTAAATTTAGTGAGTCATCGAGAT